ATTTTAATCATATTTTAAGAAATAATTTAAATAGAAAAGAAAACAGAATCCATATACATTTTATTTTTACCTATATGTATATATTTTTATTTATATAGAGTATACGCATATTTCTATATATGTACGTATACGTAATATTTTGCATAGTGTGCTAAGTTAAACTTTTTTATTATATAAATGTATTAATATAATTTATACTTAAGGCAAATTGATTACATTTTCTTGAAATATATATTATAAAGTTTTATAAGTCATTATTATAATAAACTAAAAAAATAGTTTTTAAATAAATTTTATTTTTTAACACTAGCATTCATTGTATTTTTGAATTTGAAAGACTTAATTCTGTTTAGCTTGGATAAATAAAGAGAGAAATAGAGAGAATAAAGAAGAATTTTATAAAACAACGATATAAACAAAATAAAATAAAATTTGATTTATTCACGTCTATATTTTTGCTTTCATATATATCTTGTAACAACAAAGAGAGAGAAAGAGGGGGATAGTGTGCATGTGGGATATTCCTATTCCCATTCCATTCATTTCAATATTTAGGGTATTACCCAGTCAACCACTCTTCAGCTATTTATAGGTGCTGTAGGAATTCTGAATTCAGAGAGCTGAGCGCGCCAAGTTTATTCCAGTTGAAGTTCAAGGTAAAAGCCGCCGTCAAAACAACAACAAATAAAAATACAAAGTATATATAAAAACGAAAAAAGAACAAAACAAAAATAAGAAGAAAAAAAAAACAGACACGCAAAAGAATTATCGTATATATACAAAATTAACAAACACAGCAGAGACAAATTTCGCAGCCTTGACAAAAAAAAGCACACACGCATACAAATACACACACACACATAGAAACACATGTCAAAATTGGAACGAAAAGCGAGTTGGAACAGAGGGCGGGCGTATGGGTGAGTTAGGCGTGGCCCGCAAACAATTTCAATTTTAAATTGATAATTAAATTGCAAATCAAATGCGAGGCGTAGTTCAGCAAAAAAAAAAAAAAAAAAAAAAAAAAAAAAAAAAAAAAAAAAAAAAAAAAAAAAAAAAAAAAAAAAAAAAAAAAAAATTAAAAAGAAATATCTAATAAAAAATGTGAAATAAATATATATACTTATATCCGAGTACATAATGTATATGAAAATATAAATATATATAAATAATATAAAGCGTGATGTAATACATACAAAGCATTAATTTAACGCCTGTTTTTTAACACTCTGAACGAATTGTGCAATGCATAAGTAAATAGATATTATTGTTTTGTTCCGGAACTCAAGAGAATCTGTTTCAATTGCTAAGGCATCAATCAATGATTATATAAACACATTTCCGTCAACTTCTCTATAGATCTATATATGTATGCTACTATATGGCATATGAATATTGGATTTTCTCAAGTGTGTACTGACCTTTTATAACTGTAAATGTAAGCCTGTTAGCTCACATATCTATCAATATCCATACACATATACGTATGTATATCTATATATGTTCATATGTCTGTGAAAGCTACTTGACTTGACTATGTTAACTGTTAAACAGCTTCATAAACTGTCGATTCACTCGGCCATCGAACATAATACACAATTATAGGTTTACACATGGCTTTACACTGCGCTACACGATATTCTGAAACGTGACTGTGACTTTATTAGGTGTGTTTGTTTAACATCAAGTTCAGATTATTATTTCAATTTGATTCGAGATTCGAGTTTATACTTGAAATATAAGTAACTAGTATAAAGCTGTAACTATTTTTAGATGTGTGAATAGATAGATCTATACAATCGTCTGCTTCATTCTGATATGCATTTTTAAAAACCCAGCGTTATTCTTATTTAGTTATCTTTGAATGTAACATGCAATAAATTGTCTACATATTAAAAAAAAAATATGTTTTTGATTTTATTTGATATTTGATAAATATTCTCAGCTTAACTTGTTGACAAGAAAAAGTAAATAGTCAATAGAAAATAGTTTTAGAAAAGACTTAAGTAATAAATAATTCATATATGGTATATGAATTGGTATTAAATAAGATCTAGATATACTAAAAAATAAAATAAATAGAGTAGAATAAATCAATTTTTTATAAATAATTGAAAAGATATAAATTAAAAGATATATAAATATTTGAAAAGATCATATTCTATTAAAGTTTATTATAATATGTAATTATA